GGCGGAGGACACTTGCAATAAAGTTTAATGTCGAAGAACAAGGTGCATTTAACCAGAGCTGTAAACATCTCTAATTCCATTTAAACTATAGGGTGCAGTGCACTAACGTTTAACAATCAGACACTAATTCGGTGCGGAGCTCATCCGGCTGTTTGTTAGAACGCAGGGCTCAGCGACAGCAGACCACCCGGCGCCCTCGCGCCCCGCCCGAGGCATTAATTAAGGCCCCACGGAAAGACCGGCTGCTCGGAAGGAAATGCGCCTGGCAGAGTCCTGGCGGTGGCTCAGCGCCCAACTCTGCCAGCCTTGCGCACATGGGAAAGGTTTTCCCCAGCGAAACCCAGTTTTTAAAAATGTGAAATACACAACTAATCCAGAATAAGCCGCAGCTCACCCTCAATTCCACTTGACCTGTGCCGAGCTCACAGTCCAGCTCTTCCTTCTTAGACTCCCAGACAAGCTCTCTGGCCCCCCACCTCTGGGCCGCTGCTCCCCCATCTTTAGGCTCCCCGCCAGCTTCCGGATCGGCCAGCAGGGGGCTCCCATCCCTCAGGCCGGCACCTTCCCTCCCATTGGGCCACGTCTCTTTGGGAATTTTGCTATGAAGACTTCAGGGGTGACCCGTGTTCTGATGATCCCCCCAACCCCTAGGGGTTCCAGGTTCGCATTTCCCAACAGTGTATATCCCAGGCCCGGAAGCACGGGCAGTCCCGGGACCTCGTTAGACAGACAGACTGCCAGGCCCCCGCTTCCTGAGCCCAGACCCACTCTAACAAGACCCAGGCGATTCATGCGCACGCTAACGTGTGGGGAGCGCCAGTCTCCCCTAAACACCGGACACCCCACTGCCGCGCAACACTCCACACTGAGGCAGACCCCTCCTCCCAACCAGCATTTCTTCTCGGTTTTCCATCTCAGTGAACAGCTTCTGTCTAGAGCATGGGGTGGGGGTGTGCTGGGGTGGGCGTCAATATCCCCACCCTGTGGCTGCTTCACGTTGTAATAGGCCCCAAATGTCCCAGAGCCAGGTCCCCGGACCCTGGTCTCCTGGGCCAGGACAGTGGAGGACACCACGTTCCATGTGGAAGGCAGCCTACTGGTCAGGGCCAGGACAGGAAGGCTCCCCCGGCACGCGTGTGACCGGGCTCATTCGAGGGTCCGCCCCGTGCCTTTGCCTGCGGCGGCCAGTGCGGCTCAGCACCGCGCGGCCTGCTGCTGCCCCCATCCAGACCGAGGCCTCCCGTCGGGAGAGCATGAGTCCCGAGGCCTGGCGGCCTCCCATCATGGGGAAGGGGTCTTCAGAGCCCGGAGAGGCCCTCAGAACGCGCAGGCGTTGCTGGAGCTGGAGGCTGAGTCCAGTTCCTGGTGTGACGCCAGCGACGCCAGTGGGCCCTGCGTGGGGATACTCGGGGTGGTCCCTCTGCTTCCGGGCTGGGGAGCTGCTCTGATGCGAACTGCATTCGGCAGCATCCTTTCTGGTGCCAGCGGACTAGCGTGGACAAGACCAGAATTAGAGAATAGGAAAATGGGGTCATTTTGTTGAATCAAAAGAAGATCTGATGGAAAGAGAAGAGTCTGGGGGATTTCAGGGGCGCAGAGCTGGGTCTGGGCCCAGGGCCTTCTCCCCCCTGCGTCTGTCTCCGCACCCCCTTCGTTCTCCCAGGCTCCTCCACTTGGCAGGGGACTTGCTGCAGGCAGATCTGAGGTGTGCACCCCAGCGCGGCGGCCGAGGTGGAAGAGTGTCTTTCTCCCAAGGACTCTGGGTAGCCAGACCGGGCCTCATGCCTGCCCTGGACCAACTCCGCGGGCTGAGGCATGAGCCCATCCTTGGCCCAGTCTTGCACATCAGGGCTGAGTGATGAGCAAGGCCATGAATAGCCCCTAGAAGCATCAGCTGCTTTAGTGACCTCATCACAAGTGAGTCTTAGGGCTTCTTGATGTGTGGGATGACCCAGATGACTGTGCCCATGTCACTGTCATTCCAAGTGTCAGGAGGGCACAGGTCTGGCTGATTGCTACGTGCTCTCTGGGCTCCATGCTGCTTCAGTGGAGAGGTGACCCTAAAGAAACCCCAAGCCTTTCCCCCACCACAGCTGCTTCAGTTCAGGGCTTGGGGTTACCTCTCTCCCCACCTGGCTTCCGACGATGACTCCGCACCCAGCAGAGCCTGGGCCAAAGGCACCACCATATCTCAGAGCGTCCCACTCTGCCTGTAAGAACCACTGCGTCCAAGCAGCAGGCTCTCATTTGTTTTAACTTCACTAAAATGTGCACGCGATCATGCGTGTGGAAAACTTACGTACAATTGTTCCCGTATCTGCCTCAGAGTAAAAACAAACTGAAGAACTTTTCCTAATTTCTACTTGCATGAAGTTTCTTCTTACTTACCTTTAGATGTGTCAACACATGTTTAGTGATACATTTGATAGAGAATGAATGAGCAGACCTGTTTTTTTAAGTGTACTATGACAGTCATGTCAAGCAAGGCTTCTCGCCCCAAAGTGGTGCCAGGTCAGGGCAGCCGCTGTTGCAGTCCTGAGCACAGCTGGCAAGGTTTGCTTCCGGGGCAGAGCAGGACCAGCTGCTCCCTGGGGACGCGTCCGCGGCAGGGGACACGGCCGGCAGCTTCCTTTCCCCCTCTGCGGGGCGGGTCTCCCACTCGCACACGGAGTTCGATTGTGCAGCTAGGACCAGAGCTTTGGAGAAAGAGAGTGAATTTAATGTACAACAACAATTTCTTAGACCAACTGGCAGCTCCTACAAGCTGTGTTCTTCTTGGTAGAATGTGTTCATTTCCGTGTGTGATGGCCCTAAGCTCCCACTGAATTTGAGGGGTTGGGTTTGGGGGTGACTTAAGTTCAATGCAGTTCTGCAGAGGCCTGTAGAACTACCCCATCGGCCTCTCCCACCTCCTCACACTTGCCCGCTCTCCACTCCCACCAGGCAGCCCAGGGCCCCACTAGTCCACATGGCTCTTACGCGGACCAGGACAGGGCCTGCCGTCCTCAAACGTCCCGTGACGTGTTCTGCTCTACACCGCCGTGAGAACGTGCGACCCAACGCCTGCGATAATCATGAAGTGAATGATGTCTAACCATTACCCTCCTCCCTAGAGACATGCTCTGGGACGTCCCAGGGAGTCCTTACAAATGGTCTTTCTTCCTCAAATCAAAAGCCGCACTGTGTATTCACCCCTTTGAAACCTGGCAGAGAGGAAGGGAATGAGATGCAGGTGTAGACAGAGAGAATGACTTCCTCTTTGTAAAGTCAGCCTGTTTTTTTGCCCGGCCAGTATGCCTCAGTGGATTGAGTGTTGACTGAGAGGTCCTGGTTCAATTCCCGGTCAGGGCACATGCCAGGGTTGTGAGCTCCATCCCCAGTAGGGGGCGTGAAGGAGGCAGACAATTGATGTTTCTCTCTCACATTGATGTTTGTCACATTGATGTTTCTATCTCTCTCTCAAAAAATCAATAAACACATATTTTTAAAAAGTCAGGCTGTTTTTGCTTCTGGAAACTCACCTGCCTCAGTGTGGATGCTTTCCAATAAGCCACGAGAGGGGCTCACAAGCGATCACAGGTCTTTGGGAGTGTCACTGTACAGCTAAGTGCCTGGGCAAATAGTTACACTTTCGAGTTACTGCAATGAGAGCCATAAGGAGTAAAGAACAATTCAACTGGAAAATGCAAGCTGGCTTTAGCTGAATGCCAACACAGTGTATTTGTGTGGCCATTTATAGGGTCCAGAATCTCGAAATAGTCATGAACCCATTTCAGAACTCTGAGTCTGAGACGTGGGGCTAAGACACGCGAGCCAGTCCAGTTCACATGGTTATACAGAGGGTCAGAGCTCACACTCAAGGTTGTGTTTAAAATATATAATTTACCACATATACAGGGTCCATTACAAAGCCAAACAAAGTGGTTCTGGGTGTACAATGAGTGACCACCCAGTGTGCACACACAAGGAAAGGGGGCACACACCCTCTCCAAGGACAGGGCCGTCTTCAGGGAGGCCCCGGTGGGAACAGGCCCAGAGCACAGCCTCCCGCGCGCCTGCGTGCGCCCCCCTGCCTGCCCTCCACTCAGACCGGTTAGAATCGACATGCAGAGCTGAGCTGGGCAGCGCACTTTGCAACAGTGGGGTCCCCAGGACACGCCTTTCCAGCTTGGCTTGTACCTCGTACTCTGCCCTGGGGGAACCAGGCAAAGACCTTGCCCGCCCACGAGGAGACATCAGTCAGGGCTGGTGACCTTGGCACACTTCCAAGAGGCCCACTTCCTCCAGAGCCACTGAGGGCAAACGCCCCTCCTTTGGAAAGGGCGCGCAGGACCTCCCTGGAGGATGTCCCGTCTGCACTGGCACAGGCCGGGGCTGCGCAGCGGTGGAGCCCTCAGCACGGTGCTCTGCTTGTGCGGGCGTCGGGGGATCATGACGGGGACAGCGCTGGCTTTCCCAAGGCCCTCAGACCGCAGACTTGCCGGCCGCGTCCTCTCCGCCCTTAGATCCGGGGCAGCGCGTCTGTTTACAGCGGAGATGCTCTCTGCGCCCAGCTTGCAGTCCTCCGCTCTGCGCTGCGAGCCCCGGGAGTGTCCCTGGTCGTCCGAAAGCCCACCGGCGCGCGTTGACCGCCTCACACCCCGGCCTCTAGTGGCATTTCCTCTAGCTACAGGTGTGAGCGTCATATCACGGATACAGGAAGAATAAAGGCGAATATTAAGATTAAAAACATCAAAATCCAGAGAAAGAAGAGGAAACCGGGAAGGGGTTTGGCTCAGAAAATCTCTTGGGATGTTCTCAGAATGAGTCCTCAGGCCTCGGGGCTCAGACCCAGAGGAACCGTGCCCCAGACTTGCCCAGGGCCGGGCCCCTCCCCTTCCGAGGAGAGGGCCGCGACCCCTCTGAAGGCACCGGGGGGCCCCAGGAGAGGGGTGCCCACCACACAGAAGGCACGGGTGAAAATACAAAAATAAGGGCTTTGTCTCCGAGGGTTCATAAATAATGGGACGGCAGAATTAAATAGGGCCGGGAGGGGCGGGGCTACAGCGCGTTCTCCTCGAACAGGATCTGGGCGTAGACGGTGCTGGTGGGCGCGCCCTTGGCGGCCTGCGGGGCTTTGGTCAGCTCCAGCTCCGCGTAGGTCAGGCTCTCCTCGGTGATCTGCGGCTGCGGACAGAACACAGCACAGGCCGGTGAGCGCGGGCCGCGTCCCGCGGTCACGCAGCTCGCGCCCTCGTCGCGACAGGTGGACGGAAGGCACAGGGACACAGGAGACCTACAAACACATGATATGCATCTCGTCGTCTCCTGCAGAACACTGTGCTCTGAAAAGAGACACTGATTTATTTTCGAGTCAACATAGAACAGTAGCAAACAATGATTAAACGTCAGGCCAAAGTAAACAAAAAGTAAAAATAATGTAACTAACAGTCTCTGGTCAAAAGGAAAAAATAGGCAGAAACAAAAGTCTTAGAAATTAAAAACAAAACTAGGAGGCTACCATCTAGAAATGCTCTTAAGTGACTGTATAAAACTAAAATTTCATAGTATCTTGAAAATAATGACAAAGAGAATATTACTTGCCAGACCCTGAAAAATACAGTGCTCAGAGAAAAATCACAGCCTTAAACAGTTATATTACACAGTATGGATCACATGGCTGAAGCGTCCAGCTGAAGAAGTTAGAAAAAGAACAAAAATAAAGAAAAGCCAAAGGAAGGACCAATAAAATCAAAACCAGACTGTGTGAATCAGAAAACAAACAAACAAAAAAAACCCCCAACAGTAAAACAATAGAATTAATAAAAGTATCCAAAAGCTTGTCCTTGGAAAAAAACCAATAAAAAAAAAAAAAACTGAGATATATTAATCAAGATAAAAAGGGTAAAAACATAAAATAAAATAGGAAATAAGAGAATATAATGTAAACTTTAAACAGTTTTAAAATTAAAGAAAGTAGTTTGCTCAACATACTACAAAAAACTTGAACTACAGGATAAAATGGGTAATGTTCCAGAAAAATATAAATGAGATGCAATATCTTCAAAAAATATGAATGTACTAATTATCATAAAAAAGGAAAAAAAGGGAAAGAAGGAGGGAAAGGAGAAAAACATATATTGTTAAAAGCTCTCTCAGAAACACCAGGCCCAGGAAGTTTTATATGAATTTAAAAATATATATTCTTTAAGGAACAGATTATTCCAATATAATTTAAATGAGCCAGTGCATTAAAAAAATAAAAATTCATATATTTTAGAACAATTTCACTTATTAATATAAATTTTAAATCAAATTTACTCAGAGAGAATACAAACTATATTAAAAGTTAGATAACCATGCTAAGTTGAATTTATTTCAAGAATGCAAAGATATTTCAATATTAGAAAAATCTATTAATATAATTCACAATAGTAATAGATGAAAAAAGCCATTTTGTTATCTTTATAGATACTGGGAAGACATCTAATCATATTTAAAAACACTTTTGGCCCTTGGCCGGGTGGCTCAATTGATTGGAGCATCGTCCCATACACCAAAAGGTTTCGGGTTCGATTCTTGGTCGGGGCACATACCTGGGTTGAGGATTGGATCCCTGGCCGGGGCACATAGGAGGCAACCAATCCATGTTTCACTCTCACATCAATGTTACTCTCTCCCTCTAAAACGATAGATAGATAGGAAGAAAGGGAGGGAGGGAGGGAGGGAGAAACATATTGTTGGGTGAGGATTAAAAAACCCACACTTTTGTTAAAAATTTTTTTTGAATAAAGTAGTCATAGGTGTGTGTGTGTGTGTATGTATGTGTGTGTATTTTTATGTTTAAGGAACATCATTGAAATAAATATTTGGTGATTCAACTCTAGTGCTATTAAAAATATAAAGCTGCCATCATTAAAATACTGAATAGACATACTATCAATGAGACTAATGAGAAAGTCCAGAAATTAATCCAAATATTGTTTTTTTCAGTAAATGGTGGGGGGATACTTGGGTATCCATTAAAAAATTATATCCCTATATCTGTCTTTATACCAGAGAAGTTCCAAAGGAATTAAACATTTTAATATGGAGAATAAACTTATAAAAGTGCTAAAGGAATGTGTAAGAAATTTTTAAAAACAGTCTCAGCATATGCAGTGCATTTTAAGGTACAGTACAAAATGCAGAAGCAACAGCGAGAAGAGATGGACATTTCCATGCTACACAAGGCAAATACTCTTTAAATAAAGTCAAAGGACAAGTGAAAAAAATGGGGAAAATATTTGTAGCTCATATCAAAGGGCTTTACAAGTCAACAAAGATCACAGCCAACAATCCATCAGAAGATGTAGAAAGAACAGGCAAGAGCAGAGAAGTCACAGGGAGACAGAAATGAGTCTGACACATACGGAGTGACAGTGACCTCCCTCCTAATAAGAGAAATGGGTTCAATGTCACACTTACGTGTCAGTTTTTGTCTTCCAGGAAAGGGAGGGGCCTGGGGGGATGGGTGAAAGGTGAAGGGAAGTAAGAAGCACAAACTTCCAGTTATAAAAATAGCAAGTCACGGGGATGTAATGTACAACACGGTGAACGTGGTCGATAATATCGCAGTAACTCTGCACGGTGACAGATGGGCACCAGACTTGGTGATCACATGGTAAGGAATACAAATGTCAAACCACGATGTCGTACACCTGAAATCAATATAATATTGTATGTCATCATACTTGAATAACATTTTTTTAAAAGACTGCCATGAGAAATAGAAAGAAACAGGTCCTCTTGACTTTGCTGGTGAAAGTGTCTACTGGTCCAGCGAATGTCTGGGAACAGTTGACTGAGCATCAGCAGAAGGCTGGTGCATCCTACAGGGCAGTCCACGCCGCAGTCTTCATGAGGAGTAAGGGAGCTGTATGTGTCCTGTATGTTTTACTGTCACTGTGTAATATGCGTGTGAGTAAGCATATGTGCGTGTATTTATATGCTTAGAAAACCCTTGGAACCCGCGTGAAAAATCAAGAACCCGGGACCCACTGCTGCCTCTGGGAGTAAACCGGATGACGAAGGGGAGCCCTCCCCCTTCATTGTGTACATGTGTTTATCCGTTTTAAATGTTGTGGTAGGCACATGTGTTTAAACAGCGTGTTGATTAATTCTAGTCCATCGTTAGGAAACTAAAAGGCACTGACGACCTCAGTCATAAAGACGTGACCTCCCACACCCTGTCACGCTCTGTTTCTCGGTTCGTGGCTTTGGTTGTGCTGTGGTTTGTTTTTATTTTTGCTCTTTTGTGCTTATAGCTTGGTTATCTCACCAAAATTCAGGACAAATGAACCATGTGCATTCAATTTAAGTTTCTTGAAAGGATGTCAAAAGCAGAAAGCCCCTTTGCTTTTGAGTGAGACATCGTAACACAAACGGAGCAGGAGACAAAGAGACTCCCCCAAGGGCTCCCAACAGCCAGTGTGTGCCGGTCAGGGCCCACTCCTGAGTGGCCTCCGCAGATCGGCCATGTTTACACCGAAAAGTGAGGACATTTACAGGGATGAGAGCCTCTTGTTTGTCCTGACACCGAAACTCGGCACTGCTTCTCAGTCGTCCAGATCTTACACGCCAACACAATTCCCTCTACTTCTTGCCTGCAGTTTAATTACATTTCACATTACGATTCCATTTAGAAAGGCCATGTGTCCTCAAATAAGCACTCAAAACCCAACTCATGTAAATTTTAGAACCAAGATTTATGAAATCATATTGTCCAGGTGTTTTATTATATTACCTTGAAATTGCATTGTTTTCTAGTGTAGATTATCTGTTTATTCTTAAGTTATTCCATTACGTTTGGATATGAAAAATAACACTAGCTTTCCCAATACAGGTCGCCAGGCTGGCTGGGCTGGTGTGTTGTATTCATACATTTTTATGATGTTCCTATAGTAAACATAATTCAATAAAGCCAAAGCACACTAAATAAATAATTGCATCTAGAAAAGCAATAAAAACAAATAAAATTAGTACTTTCATAAGTGGAAAGTTACTTCAATTACTGCTCCATGCACTACCCCCCTCGGAGTGTGTGGAATCATTTCCCTTATGCATATTTCTGGGATATAATAATTTGATTGAAGATATGAGGCAGCACACAGGAGGCTCCGAATTGTGAAGTGTACACAGTTTCCAACAGAAGATGTGTAATACCGACCCTCGGTGCCTTTGAAGAACCTCTTGTTTTTCTGGCGTGCACACTTGGCTGTCACAGTCAACCACGTGTTAATTACATTTCCCTGCCCGTTTTCCTGGAAGCAAATTCCTAAAGGCCCAGGAAAGGGAGCGAGTGTGGGCTCCCCAGCAGTTTCCACCACGCTACCTTTCTTTGCACCCGTTTTAGTGGAAGGCTGGGGTGCACTGAGAAGTAGCTTAGAGAAAAGCATCAGCATATCAGTGCGGCCTCCGGAACTGGAGATTAATCCAGGAGCCAGGTGCGGAGCGTGAGTGGCTGCCGGGGGCGGAGCTGGGGGAGAGGCTGCAGAACCTGCCTGTACTTCAGGTGACGCCGAGATCCTGACAACTGAAGCCAGCCCCGGGTTTAAGCTAAGCAGTCACTCCTCACCCTGTGGCAGTTCAAGAACCGCAGCACAGCAAGAGGGTCTCTGAAGATGAATCAAGAAGCCCTTCTGTGGCTCCCTGCCACCTGCTGGCCCTCGAGATGAGCCCCTGCGAGGCCCGTCCTGCTCGCGGGGCGCAGGACTACAGAAGCGTAGGCGCCAGCACGCAGGGCTACACTCCAGCTCTGGAACTGGCTGCTCACAAATACTGAGGTTCTGCTGAAACAGGGAGCTGCTGGAAGCCGGTGTCCAGGCCTCAGACCCGAGGGGGCACTGGGACCGAGGCTGCTCCACCCGCGGAGGCAGGAGGGCAAGGATCAGACAGCAGAGTGAGCCACCGCCGAGTCCCAGCAGGGTCCCTCAGAAAAAGCCTAGCCCGGCCGTGTGGCTCAGGGGTTGAGCACCAACCCTGCACCAGGAGGTCGCCAGTTCAATTCCCGGTCAGGGCACATGCCCAGGTTGTGGGCCCGACCCCCAGTGGGGGGCGTGCAGGAGGCGGCCAGTCCATGTTCTCTCTCATCAGTGTTTCTCTCTCCCTCCCTCCCCTCCTTCCTCTCTAAAATCAATAAGAGAAAA